GAGCTTGGGAGACTCACCAGAATTGGCACTTCGAGCCGTAACGACAATTTACCCTTCTCTTCCCAACTGCGGCACAACTCAGTCTTGTACAAGTTGGTCTTCTTGTTGGTAGGACTGGGGCCATCATCACCGCCGTTCTGAGAGAGACCGCCGTAGTTCAATCCAGCACCGTTGGCAAGCTGGGCCAAGGCGTTGGTGCGAGCTGCAAGGAGCTCGGGGGTGAAGCCGTAGAGATCCAGTAAGGGCGAGCCACCAAAGGCGGCAGTGTAGGCCATCAAGGCCTGAGGATCCATCATTGGTTGCGCGGCGTAGGCAGCTGGAGCGGCCGGGTAGCCGGCGGTCAAGGAAGCAAGGGAGTTAACGAGGTTGCGGGCCTGATCCGCAGAGGTTTGACGAGCGGTGGCATTAGCGGCTGGGTAAGCTCCGGCAAATGCATCGGTCTTCATTCCGCCAAGCGCTGCAGGGTATAATCCCATGCCAGGCAATGCGTTGCTAAGGGGGTTCAGGTTCATTTGGGCCATCGATGCTGCTAAGCCATTGGGGTAGCCGACGAAGGGGACGCTGGAATCCGTTTGGCTCCGGCTGTTCCAGGAGTCGGTAGAAGATACAGTGGATTGATAGGAGTCCGAGCGAGAATGTCCGCTGGAGCCGTCCATGAAGGCGCCGGCTAAGCGGTGGTATTCATACGGCGGCTGTTGAGAGGAAGGTTGAGGGCGCCAGGCACTGAAAGCATTGTAAGTTGGTGCTTGCTCGGCAGGGCCGGGGTACGAGCTGTCAACTTCGGAAGGTTGAGCACCGGATGGAACATAGCATTCCTGAGTTTGCCAAGACTGCATAGCAGCCTGCGAGGGGGAAGCCGCGTTTTTCTTGTTTGACGTGGGATCACTCTGTGCGTTTTGGTTGGAGGAAGCAGGCGGCGTGACCGGAAGGGCAGGCTTTGGAGCGGGGGAGTCCGTAGACTCTGCGTCTGAGGATGCAGTTGACAGATGAGGGGCTGACATCAAGCTACAATCGGAGGCCGTGCTGAAACGCTTGGAATCAATGTTGGAAAAGGTGCTGTTTGGCATCGGGGTGCACATGTCGGTGGATGAGCAGGCGGTTGATGTTCGGGAATCGTGATCCGAAAAATGGGCCGATGAGTGGAGCTGACAGAGTAGCGCTTTAGTGAGTCATAGAATAGTTGCGACAGATAAAACCAGGTCAGCTGCCGAAATAGAGTGTGGGGGAAATGCGACAAAGTGGAAGGGAAAAAGTGTGCAAGGGTGTGGAATGCTTACGTCTCTGCA